ACAAGCTGAAGCGCTGACTGGAGAGCAGCAGCGCGCGCACGAGAGAGCGGGAGAGAGTGGGAGCGCAAGAGGGTGTTGATCAATGATCTGGTTGCGCATACAAGCGATAAATCTTGCGTTTGCAGTTTAGGCTGTATGTTGGTGGTTGTTAGTGCTGATAAGGCTTAGTATGGTTCATTTGTGTCGCTTAGATTTAGAAATAAACAAAAGCATATTTATTGTCAACAACAAAGTGACTACATATTGTAAATTGGAGAGCATATGGGATGATTAATAAGCAAACAAATGTGCTTATTACTAATCGGCAGTCAGATGTGCTGGCAAAGGCCTGAAAGTTGTTTAGGAATAGAAGGAAACTGCATTTGTGGCAACTCGTTAAGAGAGTCACAGTATGTATGCGAAGCAGCAGGTTTGACTCGTATGGATAGGTATCAGGATAGGTGTTGGATGGGCAGCACTATTCAGTATGCAGTTTTCAAACTTTTTAAACATATTTTTAGTACCGCAACACCTGTTCTTCAACAAAGCGCGGTCGCAGCTTCGTGTGTTTTTTTTTCAAAAGAGAAGACAGCAAAAAGCAGCGGCAGCTGCGTGTTCATGCTTTTTTTGCAGAAGAGAAGACAGTACGACTCAATTGCATACTGTCAGGAGATATGATATTAAAGTTTAAATACATATGCTTGGTAGGTAAGCGCCCAACTGTACTACTAATTGGTGTAGCTGATGATCAGCTGGGTGTGCAATAAAACAGTAAAAGTCAGCAGCGCCACCCTCTCATTTGAAATGAGCGACTGCAGCCTCTTTAAGTAAGCCAAAGAAAGGATTGAAGAAACCGGATTTTCCAATGCTTCAACCATTTTTAGGTATTTTCTTTCACAAGCCCAGCTTGGCACGACCATATCTTAACATTTGCGCGCAGAATGAAGGGCTGTACCTTGCTTTTTTTAACACCTTTTACCACTTTTTGCGCTCATTCGAAATGAACAGTGTAAACAGCCTCCTGACCCCAGCTGATAATTTGTTAAAGCCCAAGCAGTGGCGCGAACATATGACAGATTGCCTTTGTTTATAAAGTATTTCGCATTGTAATTATATAATAAGTATTTTTTGATTAAAAAGCGACGCAAGCAGACCAAGTTGTGCCACAAAGCAGCAGCGTACAGAAGATGGCTTATTTATAGGCAATGTCAATAAGCAGGCAATTTGTTGTTGTTAATATATTCCTGCATGCTGGCCCATGTGCATTCCGGCGCATAAAAGCCGAAATAACACGGTGCAACGAGGCGTATGAGCAACATTGCCGCTTAATTAAATTTATGCAAAATATCAGACAACGCAGGAGCGAATCAACGCTGTCATGCAGCAACAGCAAGCCCTAACACGTATGTGTGTGTATGTGTGCGATTATAGTTTTATGCTTTTATGCGCTTGAGTTGCAGCGCCCGCCGCCCCTATGCGTTTGCCAGCGTAATGAAGCGCATCAAATGAGTTTGCGCATTGTCTTCGCTGATGAGGCCACAAAAGCCTACATATGTAGCAAGCAAGGCAATTTCGTCTGCACGTTGCTGTTGGGCATTGTGTAATTTGAAAACATTTTTTTTTTGTAATTCTTCTTAATTGTCACGCGCGGACTACGCGGTTATAAACACTGTGTGCAATGAAGGCTGACAGGCAATAAAACAGGCTGACAGGTAAATGCACGAAGAGTTGGGCAATTATGCGAAGAATAATCGTAGACAGCACAGAGAGTGGATGAGCGGGTGTGTAAGAACAGCAAGCAAGTGGGTACGAATGAATGAAGAGCGTTGAGCCGAGTATTCACCAAGAAGTTGCGCTAAGGATTGTGCGAGAAATAAATGAGCGCTGTCAAGTAACGCCGAGCTGCGCGGTAGGTAAAGATAAAAGCAAGACATTTAAACAGCTCAAGTAACATTCTCTGGCAAAGGCACTGGACTGAGCGACGTCTTGTGGTAGCAGACTAGTTTTTTGTGGAACGCATGCAAGGTAAGACTTTCAGAGTTTGGTAAATTAAAGAAGTGCACAAAGTTTGCGTGTGGAAATAGCTTAGCGTTAGGCGTGTCAAAAGTATAAAGCTCGTAGTAAACAATTAAAAGTAGACTTTTAATGAAGCAAGTGTATTAAATTTATATGTTAATTGACAGCTATTAATTGAGAAAGTTGATAAAACCAGATAACTTGTGCAGATTCGTTAACATTAATTAAGGCTGTAGACAGCGCTATGGCTGCGTGAGTTCAGCTAAAAAGTAATGACCTACCAAAACATGATGGAAATTTGAAAATTTCAAAATTTAAAAACTCAAAATTTCGAAGTTTAAAAATTTCAAAGAATTTCAACACTTAAAAATTAAAAAATTTCGAAGTATAAAAATTTAAACAATTTCATAATTTAAAAATTTCAAACAATTTCGAAGTATAAAAATTTAAACAATTTCATAATTTAAAAATTTCAAACAATTTCAAAATTAAAAAATTTCAAATAATTTCAACATTTAAAAATTTCGAAGTATAAAAATTTAAACAATTTCAAAATTTAAAAATTTCAAACAATTTCGAAATTAAAAAATTTCAAATAATTTCAACATTTAAAAATTTCGAAGTATAAAAATTTAAACAACTTCGTTATTTAAAAATTTAAACAATTTCGGAATTTAAAAAATTTAAATAATTTCGAAATATACAAATTTTAAATAATTTCGAAATTTAAAAATTCAAAATTTTTAAATATTAAACAATCTCGAAATTTAAAAATTTCAAACAATTTAGAAAATTAAAAATAAAAAAATTAGGGTTTGGTTACAGTGAATCGCCCTTCAAATGGGAAATATATGAGTTTTGGAAAATGTGTCAGCCAGAGGCCGTTGCTCGGTCGATAGGAACGGAAAACTTGTTTAGTAAAAATGTTTGAAATGGTTGCGCAGCACAAACAGTTCAATAGAGACCTCTAATGAAGTCAATGCACTTTTCTTTCAAGCGCTCTGCTTACGACCAAACATTCTGCTGACTAAATGTTCAGTATTTTAAATACTGCATGCAGAGTCAGCGTAAACCGTGCAATGGTTAAATAAATGCAACGCTGAGTATGAGCAAAATATATGTAAATGTAAAAGAAATGCGCACAAACAACTGCAATTTTTCGTTGATTTTATGCAATAAATTAAATTGCAGCGAAATGTCACGCATACGCCATGGTGGGTCAGCGCACAGACAACTAGCAGGCCAAGTGAGAAGAAGCGTGTGGGCGTGAGAAAAAAGCATATAAATGGAACGAGAGAATATAGGAACAGCTTTGAAAGGAAAGGCAAAGCGCATGCGATGGAAAGCGGGTGTAAAAAAGGATTTTACGCTGACTGCAGCGCCTGAAAAAATGTAGTTAAAATTGAGACAAGTGAAGGATGCGCGTGCGAAGTGTGACCATTAGTGCGACGGGAGCGGCGTATGACACAAAAAAAGCAAGACTTGAGGCGGAGGGTAAAAAAATTTATAAAAGCTGCCGTGATTGCGAAAAAATGCTGAAAAACATTTTTATTTGTCAAAAAATACATACAAAAGCACAAAAATGAACAACAACAGCCAAGTATGGTTGAGCTTTGAAACTTTGTGACGTTCGCATGCGTCCACAAACGCTTAATAATATGGCCAACACGCCCGAAGCGCATATATTATACGAGCACACACACATTTACAAACACATGAGGACACACAATTGAAGCGTGTGAAGCACGAGGCAATGCATAGCGAGAAGGCACGTGAAGTTACTCAATATATTAGCACCCTCTTTGCCACCAACGGCGCTATCTGCCACATTTTAGACATATAGCCTCTATCAGTACCACTACTGACACACCTTCAAATGTGTGTATATTATATTACAGCCATTAATTTTGAGTCCGGCTGATGGAAGGAGGTGGCGACAATTTTATATTTGACCATTAAATTAATGACACATAATTTAAGTAGTTTTAAACTAGTGACTTAAGAACTAGTTCGAAAATAGTTTAGGTCAAATAAATTTTAAGTTAAATGCCAGCTGTGCTTCTCGGTTTTTTTGGCACTCAGATGTTTGAAATTATTTTTTGTATGTATTTTCGAATTATTCCATTTTCGAAACTTCGATCAAATTATTTTAATAACTTCAAAAGTAGTATTTATTCAAATTATTTTAATAACCAACAGCAACAGTAGCATTTTTTAAAATTTCGATGCTAACTTCGATTTTGGAAATATCGAAAATTGATAACTCCGAAAATAGTTCGAATATTAGTAAGGTAGCTATATATTGTTAGAGATTTAATAAGCACAATTGTCAAAGCCCTTAAATTTCGAAGCTTTGTCGAAATACAAACGCTTTGATGCTGACCACGAATTTTGAAATATCGAAAATTGATAACTGCAAAATTAGTTCGAAATTTTGACATAATATGTACTAGTAAAAACTTGAAATAGTAACAACTTACGAAGCAATGTCAGCTTTCGAAATTTTGTCGAAATAATTTTTATTTTCGAAGCAGTAATAATCTTTTAAAAAAATTTTGAAGATGATTTTTTTATTTTCCAACAGTATAATAACAGTTTTGGGAAATTTCTGTGCTAAAACCGAACTTTGAAATATTGAAAAATTATATCTTCGAAAAGAGTTCGAATTGTAAAAAAGTATATGATATAAAATCTTTAAATAATTGGTTTGTTTATTTTACTGCAATTTGCAATATTCCATTCACAACATTCTGTTATACGCACTTTCTCACTCCTTCTCATAGAATAATACCCAAAGCACCAGCGCCAAACTGGATTTGCCAACACATGAACGCTTAAAGTGCTTTCAGCAATTTTTTCACTCAACTAGCATTGCGTGTACATTCATACATATGTAAGTGTATGTATGCATATCTTTGGAACGTTGCCTGCGTGTGGATGCACTAGTTCCTTACGATAATTTTTCAAAATCTCCAACTAAGCAATAGCGCAGCCAAATAGTCAAATAGCCAAGTGTGGAATCAAATTAGTTTTTTGGCTAGGGTTTCGCCTGGCAATCGATAAGTGGCTTAAGGATGGGTATTAGCAGAGATTTGCACAGCAATAAAAATGCAAATGCTTGTACACATGCTGATATACACGTATTCGCAAGGTATTTACGAAGTAGTGAACTATCAGCGCAAAGGGTCTGCATTGGTTATAAATATGCAAAAGTAATTTTAATAAATTTTTACTCTGCAGCCTTTTGACAGTTGACCCATTTTGCACACCTTTTCGTAGCGCACTGGGTTTAGGTGTACTCGCTAGCGTTGCAGAGTTGTAGTTTTTGCAATATTAAGGTTGAAGCACATACTTTTTTTGTGCAATTTCATTAAATTTTCATATCATTTTGTTTAAATTTTACGAGTTTTCGCACTCACCTTTTTGCAATAGTCCAGTAAATCCATTTTGTCACGCAAGCATGTAGCGCCTGATGTCTTCTTATTCAAATCCGTTACCCAGCGTCCCTCTTCGGAGAGGTATTGCGGTTGGAATACTTGGCCAGCTTCACAGAGCACCGCAATTTGTGGCTCCCAACGCGGTGATGCGGCCTGAAAGCACACGAAAAAATGGAAAAATCGTTTAATGAAAAATAAAATATGTACATCAAGTATAAACAAGTCAAAGAACAATTTTAAAAATTGTAAAAAAAAGGTATAAAGTAAAAGGTTTGTACTAAACCAATATAACTTTTTATAAGTATTTTTTTTTCGGTTTTCACAACTTTCACTTTGATATGCCTGATTACTCTGCTCTCACTACACAAAAGTTGTCGAAGAAAATAGCTTTTGCTTTAAACTTAAATTTTCTTTATTCGCACTTTCATTTATGGTCATTTCCCTGCTTTCGCCGCCATTTTGCGGTGCATTCACGCTCCAATTCGAAATCAACATCAATCATACGCCCCGTTGTCCGCTGGCCGGCGCACGAGTGCCGTGCCGTGTCGCCGCACATTTGTCGCACACTTTAGCAGCCAAAGCTAATTTTTAATGCTCACTTTAATAAGCAGTAAAGCCAATTTCGAAACGTGATAACCTAATTTCACATGACCAGCAGCGGCCATTTGCCATTAGCCTCCTTAGCGCTGACTTCACTTGGAAAATATTACTGCTGCTGGTTGAGTGACTTGTGGCTTTCAATTTTAGACGTTAATTTTTTTTTTGGCATAATGCAGTTTTAAATTTGTATATTTTAAGGAAAGTGGAAATGAAAAAAAAAACTTTTTTGGTAGAACCGTGGAACTATTTTGAAAGCAAAAAATATTATTTTAATGCTCTTTAAGTTATCCAAAACCTTTTTTTAAAAAAAAAAAAAAAAATTATTATATAACCTAAAAAAACTTTTTAATATATAAATAATAATAAAAATATAATAGAAATAAAAAAATAATTTTTTATTATAAAAAAAAGTTTTTTAATACATTTTTTTTTAATAATTCTTCAATAAATACGTAACTTGTTTAGATACCACCATTACAAATATGTATTGAAAACTTTTTTTTTTTGTATGCAAACCGAAATTTGCTGACTTTTTTTGCACGAACATTTTTTTCCAATTTAACTAGTTGCGACGCACTCACTTAATCTAAATCAGAAAAATATGTGAAATATTCATGAACAAACGCTTAATCGAATAAAAATAGCCGAATCAGTGAACCTCAAAAAGGTTAACGCAAACACGCAAAGCGTCCAAAAAATGTTTGTCAAAGTGAAAAAATGCGAAAAATGCGAAAAATTGCGTGCTCTGACAGTCATCAACTAGTTTTGTTGTTACTGCATATTTGTACGCATGCAATTTGCTTGTTTAATGCTTGTAAGCACTTCGGCAAGCGGCGTCATGTGGTAGACTTGAGCACACACACGTGTGCACGCTCTTAGGCGCAGAGCGTGTGATTGATGATCATTTAATTGTGGGCAAACACAAAAAACAAAAATAAATAAAAAAAATTAAAATCGAAATCGCAGAGTAAAACGCTGCGTGGCAATTAAGCAGTGAGGATGAAACCAGACATGTGTTGTAGACAGGCGCGGATGAGAGTTAAAAGGAGAGATAAAGTGCAGAAACACAGTTTACTAATATGATTTTAGGCTGCCAGGATGGATTGTAGTTAGTAAGTTCAGTCTAAATTCTTGTTATCTAATCTAAAGCCTTAGTAAGACTCTCCAAAATGTGTAATTTCTACTTCGAAGCTTCACAAAGTAGACATGTTATAAGAAAATTTTCACCATAAGAGTTTTGTAACGAGGTGCAGACTTTTTTGAGACCGTTTCAGTCTATTTTTTCAAATGTCTTGCATTACTTGCGATCGAAAATTTGTAGTACCATCCTCGTTGGATAGAAATAATTTCTTCTTATCTCATCGCATCTCATTTTAGCTCATTTCAGCTCATTTTATTACATCTCATCTCATTCCATCTCATTGCATCTCATCTCATTCCATCTCATATAATCTCATATCTCTCACCTCTTCACTTTACAACGGCAACTGCAAAAGACCTAAGTCTGTATATATGCGTAGTAATACCTCGGTTTTTGAGATATTGATCTAAAATTTTGCACACGCCTTTTTCTCACCAAGAAGCTGCTCATTTGTTGGAATCGCCGATATCGGATCACTATAGCATATAGCGGCCATACAAACTAAACGATCGGGCTCAATTGCTTGTATGGAAAGCTTTGTTATTTGACGAGATATCTACAAGAAATTTGGCATTTATGATTAATTAAAGCAATTATACAATATTCGAAAACTTCGTTCAAATCGAACCACTGTAGCATATAGCTGCCATATAAACTGATTAATCAAAACCAAGTTAAAGATCTTTTTATCATACTTTGTGCTATAAAAAATGTTGAAATGGCTAATATGAATTCCGTCTATTTTATCAGGTTCGCTAAAGTTATAACTGCCGATATGTTTCAGCTTTAGACTTGCAATAGGTGAATGATGTTGAAGAAAGTGCCGAGATGTTTCCAGCTCTTCTGACTCCATACTACTTGGACAGTTAGCGGCAAGATTTGCAACCTTACCACGGTAGCAAATTAGTAACTTTAGCATGAATTTTAGACTGTCTTTATAGTTTTGGTCTCATCTTTTTTCACTCTACAATGTAGCTGCGTGTCACGTGAACTTATAGTTATATTGTAGTTTTAAGTTCTTTTTCGTCAACGCCTTTTTCTTACGCTAAAACAGTTTACCGTGCATTTAACCGGTTTGCGTTTACTCCTTGAAAAATTCGTCGACCATAAATGCTGCATTTTTCGCGCTTTCTTTGCTTTGCTTCCTTTCCTTCCGGCATTTCAAATTCGTGTGCAGCAGCAGTGGTCTGCGCTCATTAGTTCCACTTCAGTTCTATATAAGTAATGCATTTGCTGAGTGCGTGGCTTATTTGTTATTTATTTTTTGCTGTTGTTGTTGTTGTTGTCCATTATACTCATAGCGGCATGTCCATTTGCATTGTTAATTCGGTCGCATTGTCATACGCAATGCTAATGCGCATTTCTATTAATCACAATTACAAGTAAAAACCAAGAAGTATTGCGTGCATTGTGCGCATGTGTGAATGTGTGTGTGTGTGTGTATTCTTAAGCGCTTTTTGTTGTTGCATTGCGAGCATATGTTTTCTAAAAATGAATAAACGAATACCTCTATTATTTTGTTTATTGTTTTGTTGGGTTTTTAGTTTTGTTATTATTTTGTTGTTGTTGTTGTTGTTGTTACACTGCGGATGTATGTGGCCTTGTAACAGTTTTTGCTCACGAAGAAATTATTGTTTACAACAAATTTTATGCGTTGCCATTGTGCTGTCATTCAGTATGCTAAGCATGAAATAGGCTCACACACACAGAAGCACCCACTGCTATGCACACACACATACAGCAGAATATTTAAGTGGGTTGGGAAAAGCGCTAAAAAGCTGAGAGTGCAGAAAAATAGTACGGAAGACAAATAGCAGACAACAAAAGTTGACAATATGACAATAAAGCGCAGAAAACAAAGGAAAATTGCTTGGCAATTCTAATTGGGCAATCTATATATATATCATTTATATATATATGATATGGATGAGTTACTATAATTGCGCATGGACTTAATGACACAGTATTCCAAAAAGAATATTTCGCAGTAGTGGTACGCAGCTTAATTCCGAATTTATTTCGTGGGGCGTACAGCATGCTAAGTGTAGTGAGAGCTGAGTAGAGGAAACAGCGGCGGGGTCTTGAATGCAAAGGAAATTTTGGGAGCCACAACTCGTCTTTTTTTTTTTGCAGCTTCCTGCCTTTCTTACATATTACGACTAATTTTAAGGCGACTGGTTTTGTTGTTATTACTATTTTTTCGGTTTTAAGTAGATTAAAATGTTAGTCACTCTTTTCGCGCATTTACAGCGAGTTGTTTGCAGCGCGATGCTCGCACACTACTATATATACGCGCGCGCCTAGCAACGATTATCAAGCGCAACTAACGAAGCACGCATCCATTCACCCACCGAACTGGGCGCCTCATACGTCTCGTATTGCTCTGCCGGCGGCCCACGCAGCAGCCTCATTATACTTATTGTGTCCACACTTATTATTGTTTGTTTTGTTTTCTAGTTTTCAGCTGCTTAAGCGCGTTGTTTGTTGTTGTCGCAATAACACTATTGCGGTTAAATGCAGCAGCGAGTCGCATTCTAGGCAGCGAGTATAGGAAAAAATAAAGAAAATGAGTTTTTAGCTTTTTTTTGTCATTTGTTTTGGCCACGCTAAACGAATTTGGCTGTAGGCACGTACAACAACACCAATAAGTCAAATAATCAGTGACATTGAGCGTAGAATTTTGCTTTTTAGTTTGCTTCCAATTAGTTTAACACTAATTTGGCATGAAAAAATGACAAAAAAAGTTATTTTTTTCCAAAAGTTGATGGGGAGAAAGTGTTGAAAAAGTGACAATGGGTTATTTACGGACTTGTACCGCAGGCAATAAAAGTTGCTGTCAAAGGCAGAGCATTTTGCTAATAATAATAAATATTAAATAAAGCTCAATGCGCATTTAAGTCTCTAGGATGTAAAATTTAAACCAGAACTATCTTATTTCCGCGAAATGATAAACAAATGGACATGCGTAACAATTCACTAACCCCCCATCGAGTCTAAAATGGTGTTGACTAAATTCTAGGTGAAAGCACAGCAAAGGCACACAGCCTCAGGCGGATCTATAAAATCCGCTATAAAATTATTAGAAAGGCTCACACAAATATACTTTATATAGAATTATAAGATTTCATAAACCTGTTGAGAATTATAGACACAGCAATGAGCTCAGAACAGTGTGCTCTTCAGCGTGTGCGGTTGCTAGCGAACACCTTTTAAATGTTGAAAATTTTATGAGAGATACTATAAATTAGTTGAGAATTGCATGTTTCTGCGTTATAAGCGAATGAAATACTAAGTTTAGAAACAAATTTTGCAGGTTTCTTGAAATAATTTTAAGGCATAAGCGTTGAAAAAGATTGAAGTTGGAAAAAAACATAACCACGACCGCAACGGACACGGATTTTTAGCCGTGCAA